CTTACCCCATGGATGAAGACTCAAACTCCTACTCAAGATTATCCAACCGAGTAAGGGCTTAAGAAAATTTTTGATAGCTAAAAGATGCTTCTTGACCTGGCAGTTAAATTTGATTATCAGAATATCAGTGTGCGTCTGTGTGGAGAGAGAGAGAGCCCGTAAATAATTTGGTAGCTACTTCAAACCACCCCTAACGGTGTAGCATAATCAATCGGACAGACAAATATATCGGTCAAATTGGTGCCCTTTTGATGAAATTCCCCTAACGGTGTAGCTTCTTCTTTTTTTTTTTTTTTTTTTTTTTTTACATAAACACTTGACCCTTTATCATACTCATATAATTTTCATTGCTGAAGTCAGCATATAAAGTACTAGAAGATTTTGTCTATGAATGATTCATGGTGATCTGATAATTACTTAAACAACACAAGCACACTTCTACTTTCAAAATTTGTCAAATATGTTTTTTTTTTTTCCCTAATTAAGAAAGAAGGCAAACCTTCCTAATCCAAAGAGCATCTCGACAAAACATCATCTCAACAAAACATATGATCGGACATATATCACTTGTAATTAAGGGGGCTGCCATTCCAAGTCCACCCCAACAAGAAGTCGAAAAAGTAGCATAGTTCGTCGGTGAGGGTATCACACAATTGAGTGTAGAATTGATTTTAAATAGGACAGTTATATTAATCACAGTTTTAAAATTTTCCGGTCGCAGTTGCAGTCAAGAGTTCTTAAAAACGATAATTATTCTTTTTTATGATCATATCAATTTTTTTATTTTTTTATTTTAAAAACTCATTGGATCTCTTTCAGTAAGGTATTCAGTTTTTAATTCCTCATTAATATGACGACGAAAGAAAATCACGGCTTCACTTTATCTTGTAACGAAACATCATTTTTTTCTTTTATTTTATTTCCAATACCCATGGTATCTAAATGGATCTGAGCGTCCGGAATCCAAGATAAATAATTTTTATCAGAAATGTCAAAACCACGGATTCTAACTTTGTCAAGTTTGGCATTTTCAGAATAACTAGATATAACAACAATATAAGATACAATTTAACATAGTATAAAAATAAACATATATCTTAATAATAAAATGGCATTAAGTAAAACAATAATATAACATGAACTATTATAATTCCAGTATAATTAAATAACAAAGATTATAAACCAGCCATAATGAATAAATTATTAAATAATAAAGACAATAAAATCAGTCATAAATTATTAAATAATAAAGGTGGTAAAACTGATCATAATTAGTAAATCATTAAATAATAAAGGCGGTAAAACCGACCATAGCTAGTAGATCGTTAAATAATACAGACGGTAAAACCGATAATAGTGTAAGCACATATATCACTTAAGTTGATAAATTAAATCATAAATAATAATTAATTCATAACTAAGATTTTCTTACCCTCTGAAATGAGAAATATTATTTCAGCAAAATAAGTAAACCTAATAATTTATCAAAATTAATATCACAAAAAAAATATAAAGTTGAGATAGAAAGAGAAAAGGAAAGTTTATTGTTCAAGTGTCGAATGCTTAAAGCTCGTGCTAATAAAGTATTATAATTTATATATAATGTAATAGTATATATAGAGAGATAAATAGAGATCAAAGAGAGTAATATATTCAATATCACCTTTCGAGTACAATTGATGGATACATATAGGCTCAACGATGAGCTCCAAGTGTAAGCCAAGACAAAAGAAAAACTTGCTCACCACTTGGGGACTGTTATTGGCGATGTAAGCAATGATGCAAAGTTCAAAAATTGCATAACGTGGATCCCACATCCAAAACATTAGCAGTCTGATCCACATCCATAGCATTTGCAGTCTTTTTACATTCTAAGACATCGTCTTCAAAGGCTGAGCAGTGTAAAAAAAGAAGACAAACCTTCCTAATCCAAAGAGCATCTCAACAAAACATATGATAAGAGATACGTCACGCTTGTTATTAAGGCGGCCGCCATTCCAAATCCGCCCCAAGAAGACTGTCGGACGAAGCCGAGGAGGTACTCCGTCCAATCTCGCCGCCCCTTCCACCGCCCTTCAAGTCACCATCGCAGTCACAGGCGTGCCCAACCGCGAGCCCTCTCAGGTAATCGCAGAATATTGAACACAAGAAATAACTAAAAAGTATTATTGGTTTAATTGTTTCTTGAGCTCGACCTTTTAACACTTCAAAATTTTTCTTTCTTTGGGTTTGAGCATTTTCTCCAACAGTGGAATCCATAGAATACAGAACACCACAAAAAATAAATAAATAAATAAATTTGCTTCATAGCATGTGCTCAAGGCTAATGAATTGAGCAGTCAAAATTCTAGATGAATGAGCTTGTTTCCTAGGCTTCTCTTGTAATTTATATATATGACCAAGTCTCTTGAGAATTATAAACCTCATGTAGTTGTGAAGAGTCTTTTAAATGAATCATATATATGCATGAGTTCAGACTGCAAATACTATTAGGGTGGGGTTTATTTAATCCATTTAATTAGCCTCTTTCAAATTGACCTATAGAGATCACAAGAAAAGGAGAAGGAAGATGATTGAAAGCCAAGATCCATTCAAGATATGGAAGCATTGGATTCTGTCATATACTAATTGACAGGGACAGGTGATGCACTCCATTTCACTATCTTTAATTAATTGAAAGTTGAAATCAATTAACTTAATAGAGTAATTCAATATAAATTAAACCTGGCTAAGGCTCATAATGTTTGGGATTATAGGATGATGACAAGAGAAAAAGAGTTGGGGGGATAATAGGATGATGACAAGGAGAAGAAGAGTTAGGAAACCACTAGGGGTATTTTTATCATAAAAAAATTTCAAACATCCTTTTTCCAAAGCCAACAAGTCAAAAGGTTAGCATAGTCATTTTACAATTAAAAAGTACTCTTAAAAAGTGACATTTGGAGTGTAAATGAAATATATATTCATGTGAGTGCAAGTTAAAATTAAAATATTTATCTATGTGAGATTTGACCTAACTTAAAGGAATATTAATGTAATTTATTCACTTCTTTTTTATGGTGGCAAATAACACAAAAACGTACTTTTGAGAATTGAATTACGGCCTTCCACTTTGGAAGCTGAATTAGTACCACCGTCTCAAAGGCAAGCGTGTGTGTTTAACGATAAATTATTACGTAGCACTGGTGTAAATATCAATTGACACATAAATATATGTGTAAGTTTTATATTAATTTTATTTAGTTTTTTTCTTGAGTTTAAGATGATTTTTGACACTTCTATATATTTTGGATAAAATAAATTATACAAAAATTATATAAAAACATAAATATATATATATATATATATTGAAATTGTACATACAGATATGCACATGTATAAATATAGGTCTCATAACTGTCTTGTGATAAGCCCAACTACCTTTCAAAGAAAGTGTACCCACAAATTTGCTCCTTCAGTCACCCACCATAAATATTGAAATTGTACATACAGATTTACAATTTTCTTTTTTTTTTTTTCTAATTAATTGAAAGTTGAAATCAATTAATTAAATAGAGTAATTCAATATAAATTTAACCTAGCTAAGGCTCATGATGTTTGGGATAATGGTGTGTTTAGAAAGATGACGAGGATCAGCTCAAAGGAAGATGATGACAAGGACAAAGTTCCAAAGAGAGAGAAAAAGAGTTAGGAAACCACTTGAGGTATTTTTGTCATAAAAAATTCAATTACTCATTTTTTTTAAGTTTGTCAAAGGGGTAGCATAGTTAATTTACACCTAATTAGCCCTAACAATACTAAAAAGTGACATTTGGACCATAAATAAAATACATATCCACTCTTTTGAATGTGAATGTAAGTTAAAATCAAAATATTTATCTTTCTTAAATTTGACCTAACTTTAAGGAGTGTTAGTGTAATTTGCCCATTTCTTTTTCATGGTGGCAAATAAACAAAAACCTACTTTTGAGAGTTGAATCATGGCCTTCCACTTTGGAAGGTATAAGTAGCACGATCTCATAGGCACCCATGAAAATGTAGCGATGACAACAGGACGGCGGAGTTGACAAACATCTATTCCACCCCGTTAGAAAATCATTCATATCAATTTCGTCCCTACTTCGGCAAACAAAGTACTGACTCCGCCTCGCGTACTCTATTTAATTGCGGAGCGGGAACGAGTTATGCCACTTTTATTATTTAGTTAAAAAAAAAAAACTAACCCAATTTGATCAAATTAAGTTGATAAATAAGGTTATCCAACTTTTAAATTACAATAAAGTAAATATTAATATATTAAATACACTTTACGCAAAGTAACAAGGGTCTTAAAAATATTATATATATATATATATATATATATATATAAATTTTAAAGGTACATGTATAATTGGGACTTGTTCATCACTAAATCGCCCATGTCCCAAATTCCTTTCGAATTTTCAATTATTTTACCATACTCGTCCCAAACCTATTTAAGAAGTTATCAAATTCACCCCATTAGGGTCGGAACGGGGCGAAAACCCACCATGTCGGCGTAAATTACCGTCCCTATGAAAAAGAGACGAGAGTGTGTGTTTAAAAATAAATTATTACATAGTCCGACCCAATCATCAATTGACACGTAAGTATTTGTGTAAACTATCTTTATATCAATTTTTTTCCTATGTGTAAATATGTGATTAGGCGGGCCGGGACCATGTAATATTTTCTTGAGTTTAAGACGATTTTTGACACTTCTATATATTTTGGATAAAATAAATTATACAATAATAATATAGGTGAATAAAAAATATATTGAAATTGTACATATAGATATGCACATGTATGGGTCTCGTAATTGTCTCGTGACAAGCCCAACTACCATTCAAAGAAAGTGAACCCCCAAATTTTCTCCTTCAGTCACCCACCACAAATTTTCGAAAATTGAGTTACAGAATTAAGAGACCTAACGGTCTTGAGTCAACCCATATATATATATATATATTAGTTCTACTACAATATGTTGCTATCTATCTTTCAAACTGTAACTGATAATTTAGGCACCAACCCAACACTCACAATTTAAGCTCTTCTCAAACTTTGAGGGATGAACTCAGCATTTCAGACATTAACAGAGCCAATTTTCGTTACGTGTCGCCATTTTTTGGCGCCCAAACTGGATTTTATTTCATTGGTTGTAGAAGAAGAAGATTGAGCTTCCAAACTAACTCTCAGGTCCATACAAGTAAGTGGTAAACTTTTGTTTTTATCGTTTTCCAATTTTCATTTTCTGTTTGTTTCCTAGGAAAGTGTTGAATTCATTGAATCTTTGCATCGTTCTGTTGTTTGGGTATAGAATTAAAGTGATTTACAATTCGTCCTCCTTGGCATTTCCAATTACTCTTCCTAGTTTTTTACTAGATCTATAGCTTCAAACTAAATCTATACATACAAATATGTATATAGATATATAATTTGGTTTCATTTCCCCAGTTCTTGATTCTGCTTTGTGTTTTGAAAAGCAAGAAAATTATTTCATCTCTCGTTCTCTTACAATGGTTTGTTTTTTTATATTTTCAGGCGCGTGTGATTAACGGTTATTAAAGATAGAGCAAGAAAAATAGAGATATATAATGTCGTCCTCAAAGTATGGACAAAGCTCGCTCAGAACTCAATTAATTATCGTAACCAGGACCGAAGAAGTAAGCCATCATATATCCATTTTCATTATATATATATATCTTCATATGTTAAAGTTTTGAGCCTATAATTCTTTACAATTACAGGATGATCCCATGGAATGGTATGTTGCAGTTTCTTTTGTGGCTCGTGTGGCTGTTTTTATCGCAATTGTAGGTAAATTACATTCAAATTTAATTACAACACATCTAATTTTTCACTAGATTTTGATACAAGTGGTACAATTTTTTTTTTTTTTTTTTATTTATATTTTTGGATGTGACAATTGATAATTGAGCTCTTATATCTAAATCATTTTTGATGCTGAAAAATTATGCAGCATTGCTCATGTACATTGTATCTCTAATCCTGAAATACATTGGAATCTCCAACGATGTGCCCATAGTAGTAGAACAAGTGACCGCGACGGAGACTAACCGTCTACTATCGAAAACCGTGATTCCATTCGCATATGGAGCATGCGAAGATGATCCAGAGTCCGGAAAATGCAGTTCATCATCGTCGAATGATTTGTATGACGGAAAAATATGCATAATTTGCTACGATGAGGAACGGAATTGCTTCTTTGTTCCTTGTGGTCACTGTGCCACATGCTACATTTGTGCCCAGAGGTATATTATATATGCTTTGAGTTAATTAGAAATTTTTAAACATATTTAAAAATAAGAAATCTTACGAAAAATTGGTTATTTTTGCAGGATTATTGATGAGGAAATTAAGACGTGCCCAGTATGCCGAAGATTCATTCGCAAAGTAAGAAAAATGTTTGCTTCAGTTAATTAAATTTCTGAGTAAAGTTCCACCCTTTTCTTTGCTGTTTGTTTGGTTAGCGGCCAGAAGGAAAAAGAAATAGAAAATTTATAAAATTTTTAACAGTTTGGTTAACGTGAAAAAAAAAAAATTCAGAAAAGTATTCCCGCAAAAGTTTTCTCTATCAAACATGCGAAAATTTTAATTTTGCATGAAAGTTGTATCATTATATATTAGTTTCATCTTATACCCCTTTTCTCTTTGTTGTTCTCCAGACTCACAAAATGTGAGTTTTCTTACACAAATTAATACTCCTAATTTGGTTACAACTCTCCTACTCTTATCCATTCCGGATATGGCTCAACGGTTTACTCGCTGGACTTTGGAGCTTAGCAAACCCAAGGTCTGGAGTTCAAGTCCCGCTGGGTGTTCTTTGTGGCTAGCTTACGCTGCCCTTGTAGTGACTTACCCGGCCTGGTGGAGAGGCGCCCTTTCGCGTTTTCGGGAAATAATCAAGTTGTTGAGGAGCCCTAAGGGTTCGTGCCTTCCCAGACACTCCGAGTTAAGTAAAATAAAAAAACTCTTTTACTCTTCAAATTAAAATTTTTCGCTATTCCTAATATAAAATGCAAACTTCCCAAAACAATAAATTAAAAAAAAAAAAAACTATATAAAGAAACAAAATACCAAATACGTATCTGGACATATATATTTATTCTGGACATATATATTTATTCATAAATCCAATTATATATTTTTTTTATTACTATTATTATTATTAAATTCATAAGTGTAATTTAATTGTATATATTATTTTACTGCTATGATTATTATTTAATTGTATATACTATTATTATTATTTTACTATTAAATTCATAAGGATAATTTTGACATGTAAAATCATTTTTCTTGCACTCTCTTGCTAACCAAACTAATTGAACAACAATTCCTCACAAGTTTCATCGAAAAAATTCTTGTTAACCAAATGTATAATAGAAAACTAATTTTCTTTTCTTTTATTTCACTTTCTTTTCTTTCACTTTCCATCATTAATTTCTAGCTAACCAAATGGACCTTGGGAAATTTTCTTCATTTGTAGAGAAAAAGAAAATAAAAGAATTATTTGGATTTTGCTAATAATTTAAATTAAAAAAAAAAAAAATTGAGTTAGAACTTAGCCAAACATAATCACAATGGAAAAATCAGCATTTAGTTGATGATGAGAGTGAAAAGGCCAGCATAGGCTGGCCCAATCCATCAAAAGCCATATTTGGGCCTAATTATGAGCCTGTCATTGATATTAGAAAAGGTTTTGGTTCTGTAATCACCAGATAAAAATGGGATTTCAAAATGGAAAATGATTTTTAGACCAATCAGTTAAAATGATTTGCTTGATGGACAAATTTGAATATTCTAATCTTGTTTGGTGTACGTTTTTTTTTTTTATATATATTTTTATTTTTATCAGGTACTCTAGCAATGAAAAGTAAAAAAAAGGGTAAAAAAATATTTTGCTTTGTACGGTGTCAAAACGTTTCGTGAATAGTAGCCAGAAATTGAAACACTAATCTGGTGTTTTTACATGTGTTCAGCACTGTGGCAACAGGTACTGTAGCGATGAACCGTAAACCCTTTTTTTATAAAAAAAAAAAAAAAAAAAAAAAAACTTTTTTAAATTTATTGTTAAGCTAACCATCATATTTTTTAAACTTGCAAAATTTTTTTTTTTGTTTTGTCAAGTTTACATGTTTTTATTTTCAAAAATCTTGCAATAAATGAATGTTACATGTTTTCAATTACTATTCAAAATAATTTATAACCAAATAATTATTTTGTTTTGGGTTAAAACAAAAAATGCAAAAATAAAAGGCATACCAAATATGTCCTAAGTTATGCAGAAAAACTAACAAAATTCAAATGAGTAGCCAATAAATTTGAGATTTTGAAATTGTTGAAGATTAGTTTTAGTCCATTCATGTGACAGATTGATATGATATGTAGCTAACAGATGAGATGGTCCACATGAGATTTTTATATCTTATAGCTAAACCTGAAAGTCAACACAACCTAACTTTCTATGGTCCAAAGTAACCTCCAAGTTTAGCTACTAGACTAGTAGTTGATGGTAACTCTTTGTGTGATTTGTGTTCCAATGACACCATCATGAATCATGGATATAGACTCTAGTTTGAAATTTTGGAATTTGGAGAGAATATAATTATTCTTATTTAATACTATATTGGATTATAATTTGCGTGAGAACAACCCTAGTGTCCCAATCACATTTCTTTAATGAATCACGATAGTCTCCCTCATTTGGACTTTTGAATTCCAAGATAAGATATTATTATTGTTTCTTAATATTTGGTTCTAATGTATATATCATACATTTAATTATCAAGTATACGAATAGGGGTTGATCTCGATCTCGATCCCCTCCTATGAAGGAAATTTTGTGACAATTATAGGTTGTTAGTGCAACACGTTACATCTTAATGCAATTTATATAAAAAAAATAATAATTTTTGCAAAAGTGATATAAAATTATTAGTCAGAACGTAGCATGGTATGAAATGAATTAAAAAAGAATTCAGGTTCGTATAGTATACCCCTTTTCATTAATTTGAATTCTTGTGAGCACATCTTGGTACTCATAAGAATGATCTACTTAGAAAACCAGCTTTGGAAGACTTTGGCTTATTTACATCTTGTGAAAAATTAAAACACGCAACGTCTATCTTAATATCAACAAGAAAAGGACAACTAACTAGGCATGTAAATGAATCGAATTTAAATTGAATTAGGTCTGATTCAATCTGAATTTAATAAAAGTAATATTCGAGTCGATAACTAGATGAGTTATCATAAAGTGGCCGCTGTCCCCACTAAAAAAAAAACATTTACAAAATTATTTATAATCTTTGTTAATTTTTTTTTTATAAAAAAAACTCCAATTTCTAATAATCACTTTTTATATTTTGTTGTTCAAGTCCGTTCTCTCTCATATAATTTTTTTTGAGTCCGTCTTTGTCTTTGAGGTGGACTGAAGTTGATTGTGGCAAGCTCTTCAACGTTGTGCACCTAAACCTCATGTCTAGTTGCTAAAAGTGATGAATTTGATTGTGCATGGCTCTTATGGTCTAAGAAAAATTGCATCCCATGATATTTTCGACCTTGTGGAAAGATACATGCTAAAAAAAATAAAAATAAAAATTCTCCAAACATAATAAAATTAGGAGACTTATTTTTATATTTTTATTTATTAAGTAAGCACTTACGTACGCATTTTACAAATTTTCTATCATGAGAATTACCATTGAATTATTAAGTACTTGTGCACATATTTTAAAAATAATTGTGTAACTTAACTTCGGGCGACTATCAAAAACTTGTGTGACCAATAACTATCTCATTAAATGAATAGGTCGATTACATGGCACCAAGCGGACCATCTGATCAATGCTTCATAACCCTTTCAAATAGTGGAGAATAAATTTTATTCAAGTGGTAGAGCACATGTCCTTATTAATGTGACCTATTAAAAATTCAAAGAAAAATGGCCCGCTCTGTTTCAATGGAAGAAGACCCACAACATGACTCTTCTCCGAGTTGGGGTCGTAGGAGTCGGAGAACGGAAACTAGAACACAAACGAAATGTGAAAGCAAAAATACATTTGAAGTATGAGAGAGCAATACTCATTAAAAATAATTGTACAACTTAATTTCAGACAACTGTCAAAAAAAAATTTATGTGACCAATAACTATCTCATTAATTGAATTTGTCGATTCCTTTCAAATAGTGGAGGATAAAATTCATTCAAGTGGTAGAGATTGCGCAATCCCACACGTTAGCCTTTTGCCACAAGTTCACAACCTTTGAGCTGGACTGAAGTTGATTGGTGCATACTTTTCGTTCTTGTTGCGTAAATGTGTGATGAATTTGATGATACTTTCAACATTGGGGAAAAATACTTGCCCAAAAAAAGAAATTTCTCGAAACATAATAAAAAGTAGACTTGTTTTCACAACATAAAATACTATATAATTAAAAAAAAAATAGATAAATGAAAATATTAGCAAGTCATTTCAAATTTCAATTCAATCACCAATGCCCTTAACTTCAACGGTATGATTGAAGATAGATATAGGCAATGTAACCGTTAAATCATATTTTTTTTAAAAATAAATTTCCATACGAAGTCCAATAATTCAAATAATGAAAAACAAAATCACAAATAAGAAATAAAAAATTATAATAACAACTTAGACGGATGTAACTAAAATTTTAATCGATTAATAAATAAAATAAAATAAAATAAAATAAATTATTGAAACGTAGAACCTCCTTGTTTTATTGAAAGTTATTAGGACTTCTTATGAGAAAGTATAAATAGTAGATGGTATGATCTCACCATCTTCGGAGGGAGAGGCAAAGTGTTTGAATTTTATTAGAACTAATATTGTCTAATTTGCATTTGCTTAAGTTTTTCCCCCTTTTTTAATAAACTTCTTAACTAATTACAAGAACACTCAACCTCTCTTTAAAGAGTAGAATTTATATAATAGCTAAAGTAGATTGGTGGACGACAATAATTTTAAGATAACAAATGTATATTTTAACAAACTTTTACGATTTTACTAATCACTTGATTTGACAACAATAATTCTAGTACAACAAATGTGTATTTTTACTTTTACAAATTTACCAATCAGGCCATCAATGATCTCTAATAAATCTTGTCACCTTTGTTTTTTTTTAGAACATGTGTGTATCGATATCAGAATACACGCACCATTTAAATTAAGAATGTGATTCATAAACTAAATTTCAAAGAGTAACCTCCCAAATTCCTGCCAAAAGACTTCATTAGCAATGTTGCTCTAGTTAGACTTAAATTGACTGTACATTTAATCCTTTTACACCTCACATACTTTTCATTATCAAGCTAATTCTTTCCCTCTTATTATTATTTCAACTTTTTTTAAAAAATAAAAAAATAAAAAAAAATTAATATTGATTTTTTTTTTAATGTTGTTTAAAATCTATGACTAATAATTATGTCCATATTTTGTCCGATTCCACATGATTAATGCTTTCTATTTCTTTCTAAAAAATTTAAGAATCTATTTTTTATATGTAAACTGATATTTGTCGTTATTATTATAGTTTAAGATTTAATTTATGATCTTCTCAATATATATGTCTTATATTTGTTGTATATAAAAAAAAATTATTCCAGTGCATGAAACTTTCATTATTACAGAATTTAGAGATGATTAAATGTAAAGTTACCTCTACATGTGAAATGATGTTTTTCGTATTAAACTTGTAACTTTCATATCATAATTATAAATAGTTAAAAATATAAATATAATGATTTTTTATTTTTTATTAAATATTTATTTTTAACAAAGAGGTGCTTCACAAAAGCCTTATTAGTTTAGTATGTAAAAAATAAAATAACCCTTGGTCTAGTCAACCATCTCCTTCATTAAAATGGAGCATAACAAAGGAGTTTGAAATTAAATGTGGAATTTTTTTTTTTTTTTCAATTTTTTTTTTTAATTATGCAATGAAGAAAAAAATTAACCAAACAATGATAAGAATGTTTCATTACGATGTGAAAGTTGCAAGTTTGTATGCGGAGATAAGATGATCAACATTTTAACTTTTTTCTTAACCCGTACATAGTGACAAAGCTCATGCGCTTTAAACCCTTGAATAATGTACACACACCAAATGCACCCAATTGTTTTCAAACGCTGACGCCGCATGTAACATTTTTTATTTAAAGTGATACAAGGTAAGCACCCAACTCGTGCAAAATTTAAAGTGCTAAATTTTTTAAGTGATAATTTAAAAATAAATATTTTTTTTAAGGTTTAATTCATTTAGCCCCTTATGGTTTGTCAATACTTTAATGATACTCCCTTTATATTTACAAAAATTCAGTCAAATTACTTACTTTTTCTAACACACCTCAGTCTCCTGCCTCCTTCAACGGAATCAAAGACATTTTTTTTTTTCTTTTTTTTTTTGCTGATATCAACAAAAAAAAAAAGTAAATTATAATGCCCACATTGTCTTCCAACGATCATGTTTGACTACAGACTATATAATAGTTAAGTTCGGCGACGCTTCACTTACAACCTTCAGTTACAGCCTCTGTAACAGTTAAGTCTGGCGATGCTTCAACCAACCATGACCAAACTTGACAAACCCAGTTCAATCCGGTGAAGCCTAACAGAGGCGGCCAAGTTCCATGAAACCCACTCCAATTCCAGCGAGCTCCAAGGTTCGACAAAACACCCATATCAATCCGACGATCCTACCTAGTGTGTTGGAAATTAAAAAGAGGAGAACCAACTTGCTCTGTTTTGGAAGCCAAAAAAAAAAAAAAGACTGAAATTGAA